CGTAATTATGCTATTGTTGAATGGCCATTTTCGTATAAATTCAGAGATACGCAAGAGTAAATCCCTAAGCAAAAGTCGTTGTTACTTACCCAAGAATGGAGCGTTACCAAGAGGTTGCTTTCAATGCCTTTTAAAATTTTGAAAAATGAAATACAAAAGGGAAAGTATGGAGTAAAGGGTTATCTCGAAAATAATTTCTTCAAATTTTAACCTACTTATCCAAACCAATCATAATGGGGCTATTCCTAGATATTTCGCTACAAATACCCTAAGGACTGAGGTTATATGATATATTGTTGGATAATGTAAAACGCTTTCGTTATCGGCGTCTGTATGCCAAACATGTGGAAATGGTACGGAAATCAGGTGAAGAATGGGTATACCTAAAATAAGCATGTGTATTTTTAAATGTAGCTGTCCCAGAGATAGAATCTTTCTCCGCTTTCTCACCTCTGTTCATAAATGGGATGTGATCGTCTTCGATTGACTGATAGGACAGTTGAGGGTTAAAAACATTGGGGACTTGACCGAGACAGCCAATATTGCGCAGATCAGCTTCTTAAATCGAAATTGGTTGCAAATTAGCATGAATTGAAAAAGTAGGAAACTTGTTTCAAACGACTAATGTGCGTATCCAATATATACTTCCTAAAAAGAAAATTCCTTCAAAAGCAGGAATTAAAAGAGGACTGATAAATCTTTGATATCTACCTCAACAAACTTTATGTTCTGACAAAATTCAAAGTCTTCTTCAAAATACCAACATAAATCTGGCACAGCCTTATACAGGACTAAAAATCTATGGATCTGTGTGCAAACGCCGGAACTTGTTGAGAGAGTTACATTTTGAAAATTAAGAAAAAAATATCCTGCAGAATGATAGTCAGTAGAAATCGGTATCTTTTATTAACAACGAAACAAAAAAGAATATATAAAAGTGATAGTTGAACAAACCTATGGCAGGAAGATGCGCGAAGAGCTGATTGGCGCCTAGTCCTACAGTATTGTGAAATTTGGGATTTCGCGCTCCAATGAGATCCAAGAGCATCATGACATCCTGAAAACGCTTACAGAAGAAAAAGATAAAAAACCGTAACTATGGTTTATCTGACTGTTACGTACCATTTGAAAAGAAAAGTAATAGAAGTCAAAAATTAGTTGAGACCCAAAATTTATTTTCAAAGCAAGAACTCGATTCACAACTCACGATTCTATCAATTTCCCTGCTCAGCTCGAAATTTGTACCAGTTGTCGTTGGATACCACTTTGCTTCCCATTTCTTCGCTAAGTGTCTGGAACCGTAGAGGGAATCAGTAGGCGTCCATTCAACGAAGGCCTCTTCTCCATCAAAGAAAATCAACTGAAGTGCGACATCCTGAAAATATAAAAGATCAGAAGCCTCTTAACAAAAAGAAATAAAGAAGAGAAAAGTTCAAAAACTAACCCCAATGAGGAAATTTTCAAACAAAAAAGTTATTCCAAAATCTCTAATAGATGATTTTCTCATATTCCTAACATTTGGGGATTTCTGTGATCGAATCAAAACAACGCCAAGTAACATGCACAATCTTTCA